ATTTGCCCTAACTTTGGAGATAGGCATATGTATCATTTGTTCAATAACTACCGTTTGTTCATTACATCCATAACTTTAGTCACTAAACAAATAGTCAAGGACTATCTGTAAGTCAAAGATTACCTATATAGTAAAAACTGAAATTTCTGACTATGTGAAATAGCTCATGAGCTGCTTGAATTAAAGCTGATGAATACAATTCAAAAGAGACACAAATCTCAAAGCAACATAATATGGAAAAATGTACTTGATTTGAAAAATGAACCTTGAGGGTGTATTCAGTGACTGAGAGGTTAATAGAGAGCAGCATCAGCATCTATTTCTGTCCTCCAAAAATGGTTGTCAAATACAAATAAGTTCTCATTCATGAGTATATCATTCTGAGGATAACGTAATAGCCTATCATAACTAATAAAAGATCCTTTTTTCCCCAAATTCTTCAAGGGTATCCACATTTAAATAATTCATACAACTAGTGAGCAAAGATATTTTAAAATTGTGTTCCATGTTCCTGCTAAAGATTTTGCTCATGTTGACACCAACTTTCAACTTTTTGATGTGATTATATTATTAGTTTTAGTTATTCCAGTCCATTCTAATCTCCTATAGGAATATACTGATAAAATGTATATCATGTTTCATTTTTTTTTTCTATTTGGAAATAGAAATTAGCCTGAATATCCATATGGAATGAAAAATGATGCTAAGGCTTAAATACAGTGAACATGCTTATGATTATGTATTCTACAGAGGCTTTTAAGGCTCACTAAAATAGCACAAATCCACAAGATACATTTGTGATTTCCATTAAACAGTTGTTTAATGGAACAGTTTAATGGAACAGCTGTTATGCAAGACTTACTTTTAAGGTTTGTACTGTTGCTTTGTCATTTCAGCTTAGACAGCATGCCATTTTACATACAAATGTATACCTTATTACCCTATTATAAATAAAACATGGGGCGTTTTCTTTAATTAATATAAATGTGGCTTGTTTAGCCAAACAAGTTTTTAAGGTAAGATGATGAACATGTTTTGCTTTATCCGTTTTATGGAAATTTTAGCAAGTTTTATTAGTATATGGAAACTTCTGTGCTTTATTGATTTCTTCCTTTATTGATCCACAATTGGTTCCTGAAAACACATTGAATATAGGATTTCAAAAAGGAAAATAAGATTGTGGATCTGCCAGAAGTTTATAGGTTAAAAAGATGGGATCCAGGAGTATTGTAACATGTTTTCATTCTATTTTACTTTGATACATTGTAATATCACTATTACATTATAATATCACATTCACAATAGGAATGATCAAACAACCAATCTCAATTATATTCCCAGCGGGGCGGGGGGAACAGTCTTTGGGGATTTATTACAGGTCATTGTTTATTCCTTCTTTTGCTCCTAAACAAATAACTGACAAGACTAAATCTGGAGGAATCTATTTGAAAATATGGTGATTTGAATTCTGCTTGTGGTCATTTGAATTGAAATGCTTACTTTGGGGGATACGTCTGTGTTTAATTCTCATGACCTTTGTTGTTCAGAGTAACAATTTCACTAACCTGTAATTAATAGACAATAATAAGAAATGAAAGTTGTTTTTATGATAGTGTTTCCAAAGCATCTCATTTATTACTATGATGGAAACAAGACAGGATTAAATGGAGCTTTGCTTTACTCAGAAAAGGTTACAGCCTGAAACAGTATCTGTAACACCATCAAACATGCACATCTGACTGTCCTTAGTAATTGAAAAAAAACTTCCGAATCCAGTTGAACAACTGGCTAACTATGGGACAAACCATTATAAAATCCTCCAGGTGATTCATTATCACCCTTATTCAATTATGTTGAAAAAAAAACCCAAATCTTGACTACCAAGCAGCAAAAAATGATAATAAAATCTCTCATTTGCTTTCTGTGGATGATATGAAGTTTTATGGAAAAATCAGAAATTGAAATCCAGTCATTGACAAACATTGTAATATTTTTTTACACAAATGCAGAATTTGACCTAGAAAAATGTGTTACAATAGCAATCAACCAATCAATAAATCACAAACAGTAATGAAATTGAAATGCCAAATAACCAAATTTCAAAAGCTGTTGGGATGAAGCCTACAAGTATCTGAGTATTTTATAGTTGGATAACATATAACATAATGTATGAACAAAGTAAAAAAAGTTGATTAGTAAATAATATATTCAAATAGTGAGAAAATTGCTAAATACAAAATTGAACGATTGAAACACCATCAAATCTATCAATATCTGGGCCATACCTATGATACAATACACTGTTAAAATTATTAACTGAACATAAGCTGAACTAGACAATTTGAACTGAAAACCAAAACTAACTCATAACTATTGATCGTATATTTCATTCCTGTAGTGCTGTGGATAGATTATACCTGCTCCTCAGAAATGGAAGCAGAAGTTTACTTCAAGTCTAACTATCAATCAAGAAGAGTGTGCTTTGACTGATTATGAAAAAGACAACCAAACATTGATGCAAGTTCAACATTGGAACTTGCTAAATATACGTTAAATAAAATGAATATCAAAATAATGTTAAAAAATTGGTAAGGAAAAGTATTGCATAGTCAATTTCTACAAAAGATTGAGGGGAAAGTAGATAATGACTGAACCTGGATTGCAACTAGAACATTAAAAAAAATATATCTTGATTCTGATAGCCCAAAAGCAAGCTATTGGAATTAATGACATCAAAAGCAGAATTGAAAATTCATCAAATTAATATTTTTTTATCATACTTCTTTACTTTAAATTTAAAAAATAAACTTAAAATGCAGGCTGTGCAAAGAGACGGAAGATACAGTAATTTCTTATATTCAACTCATGCAAGAAGATTGTACAAACTAATTTTACAAACAACGACATAACACGGTGACCAAAATGATTCACTGGATAAAAATTATCATGGATCATTGTGAGAATATTTTCAATTGAAAATATCATGAAAAAAATGTGACACTATTTAGTTGAAAAAGTAGTAAAAAAACAAGCATGGTAAAATATTGTAGGATTTCTGAATATAGACTGATAAAGTCTTGACTCATAACGCGCCAAATATAACTCTGGTTGAAAAAAAGAGTGTGTAAATAATTGATGTAGCGATACTAGGGATAGAAGACAACGAATGGGAAGAAGTCACAAAGTGTAAGGATTTGAAAATCAAAATTGAAATGTCATGGCACAAACTTGCAGTCCTAGTGATGGTCCTAGTGGTACATTGGGTGCCATAGCAAAAACATCTTAGATGACAGTTAAGAAATCTGCTCATTGACAAAAGGTCCACACTAAATTCTGCCGATACATTTATGAATCCTATGTTCTTGGGAAGAACTTAATGCATATGAAGCCCACAATCAGCTAAAGAACTGGTAGCTGTGCCTTCACATTGTTATGAACACATAATATTAAATAATAATAAAATTATAAATGATGATGATGACAATACAGTTTTTGTTTCCTAAACACTTTTGGGTGTGTTTTATGGATTTCATGCTAATCATGAAAGTAACCTTTAATTTGACATATCACGTACTGTTTTATGGAAATCATCTGTTTTGGCAATGTATACCATTCATTGGTTATGTTGCACACATGAAAGAAACATATGAAAACATGGAACTGTTGTTGAAGCACACCTGGTACACCAAGTACAACTAGAATATCTGTGGAGATTTAAAAGTAGTGTCTCTGCTGCTGGAATGCATGTTGGATATACCATGTACTGTTGTTACATATATGAGTGAGACAGACATGCAGGACAATCTCATTACATTACAAAGAAATGGCCACTTGTTGATCTAACAAAGGTATTTTTGCTTTTGCTTCACATAAAACTTGGACTGATGAAAATTTTTGTAAAAGTAATAAACAAGGAAGGGAAACATTTTCAGTATTTGAGACAGATGTTCCCAAGAATATCTGATACCAACATTTAGGAAGACGTTTTTGTTGATCCACAGATCAGATACATCAACAATGACACGAAATTTGAAGATCCATTAGCGGAGCCAGAGAAAATTTCCTGGAAAGCATTTAAGGATATAGTTGAGAATTTTCTTGGAAACTACAGAGCATCATATTCAGCTAACAAATTTCTTACAGCATATAAGATCATGAAGTGCAGTCTTGGCAAATGACTAATGATTCATACTGGCAATGGATATGGATTTGTCCAAGTCATCCTACGTCACAGTTTAATCCATATAGACAATAAAAAGAGAATACACATAATAAGGCAAAGGTAGAATAAAAGTAATATAGAAATAACTGAGAGATGAAGCAGGTACTACTACTAATAATAAGAATAGCAGTCATTTTGTGACTTTAGATACTCCAAGTACTTCATGTATAATTTTAAATGTTACAATAATCTTTAAGATGTAAATATTATTATTTTAGCCTTTACACTGCACTTGATCTTAACAGAAAGATAATGGAAAATGAAATGGAGGAGCAGGTTAGACTGTGCAAAAGACTTTTTCACACATACCCACCCAGCACAATTCAGATGGTAGGCAATGCACAAAGAAAGCTGTCTTGTCATCTGATTGCAGCCTTATCTCAAGTATGCATATAGATTCTAAGGATGCGTATTTCTTCTTAGGCAGGACCTTATATTTGGTTTCAACATAGTGTTCAATACAAAAAGAATGTTGCTTAGATTCTACAACAAAATCCAATATTTATATTTTATCCCAGAATTCCTGGTGTTTCAATGCTTTAAATGCAGACATTCCAAACCCATTGAAGATATATGTGCTAAGAGCATTAGTTCCTGCATGAAGACATTTCGGTAACAATTCTTTGATATTGCCTCTAAATTTTATATGAACTTTCATAAACATGCAGCAACATAAACAGGACTCAACAAAACGAATGTATTTTATACTAGCCCTGATCTGAAAATAAATTGTACCGTCATGTCTTTTACAATGTAACATTTGCCTTTCATTTCTTAGGAACCATTGAAGAAGATGAAGGAGATGACTTGTTGTTGAGATCTGTAGATGAATTCTGGTGGTTTCCTCACATGTGGAGCCACATGCAACCTCATCTGTTCCATAATGAGTCATCACTAGTTGAGCAAATGATTCTCAACAAGGAATTTGCACTAGTGAGTATCTCTAAAATATAAGTAGGTGCAAAATTGGATAAGACTGTTACTGTAGGTAATTACTGGTCACTATAAATATATGTTTGGTGAGTTGTAAGAAAAGCTGGTCACTTTGGTTTTCCAGATTCTAAGAATCAGGTGGTGTTTCTAGGAGTATGTCATAGCAGGGGGCTGGTTATGAATCAGATATTTCCAGTGACTTATGCCTCTGATCTATCTCTGACCATATGATTTTCTTCTCATAATTCTTTATTTTGAAAACAAATTCAGATTGGACAATCCTTCAAGTAAAGAACTCTGTCCATAATCATAGATATAGCAGGGTTTGGTACTCCTATAGCTTTCTATTTCAAATCACTTTCACAACAGATAGTGCTTTATTTTAATTCAAAATATAGTATATGGAATCTTAAATTATCTTTTTATATATTAAGGTAATTAATGTAGAATGGGTGTATATAAATAATGTAAAATAGACAAAAAGTGGTCACACAGTTCAGTGTTGATTCCTTTTTTCATATGAACTTAAAATAATTTAGTGATTTTAAAATTTACCCATCAGTATCAAGGGATCTGATATATTTATAATAAATTTGTTTCAGTTTTTTTTTTACCAATATTAAGGTAAAAACTAAGAAATTAAGAATTATCATACAGAAGCATCTATATCTAAAAACTCTAAGGATGATGAATATAGAATTAAAACATGGATAGGTTAAATGTGTAAATCTGTATTCTTTTTCCTTAAAAACCTATAGAATAATCCATAGTAATCAAAACTGCACAAGTATGCCACTTGAAATTATGGTAACAATATCATAGTTAGACATGAAACATATTGAGCATGATTGACTCTAGCTAGCAATCAGTTCCTGAAGATTTTGCCTGCTGCCAAGCAAAACTTGGCAATATTATATTTCACAAAGAAGCTGGAGTTTACAGTGTGTAGTAAGAGAATATAAAATTGATCTGTAGGGCTTGATAAGCTGACACTTTATTGTAGAATAATAGTAGTGCAGATGTATATGTAACATGAAAATGAAAAAAAAGGAATATTCCTTGTGGTTTCAGTTTATCAACATTTCAGGGACACACATGTTCTAGGAAGGAGTTATTCTTATACAGTATATTCTTTCTAAGATAATTAAGGAAAGAGCACTATAATAAGCCAAAGGTTAAGCATTTTAGCTAGATAAGATTGATAGCTAGTATAGTGAGTTACAGGGTTGGAGAAAAGCCTGGCAACCTACTCCTCAAAGAGCTCGTCAAGAAAATTATATGGGAAGGGTCTCAAACACATCAGATAGGGAACAACAATATGACAATAGGAATCCCAGTTTTGAGGCAGGCAGTGGAGTAAGCAAATGTCTGGGTTGCACAGGTATACATTGGATAGACACATGGAATGTCAGAGGAAAGAGTCAGGGTAAATTAAATATTGTCAAATGTGAGATGATCAGGTTGGAAATTGATCTCCTTGATGTCACTAAGCTATACCGGACAGACAATGGCTTTTTCCAATCTGAGAACTTCACTGTCAATTAATCAGGACATGATACCAGGAAAACAGAGTGGCATTTATGGTAAGCACTAGAGCAGTAAAATTGCTAGAGCAGTGGAAACCTTCTCAACTACCAGTGACCAAATCATGACCATCAGAATTCGTACCAAGTCCTTCAACATCACAATTATTCAAATCTGCATGACATAGGGGGCTTTTATGTCATGGTCCAAGAAACTCTGAAACAATTTCCCCCAAAAAGACAATGTTTACATTCTGGGTGATTTCAATGCAAAAGTTGACAAACAAATGAAGACAGGCATCACTGGTCATTTTGGACTAGGTGACAGGAATAATGCAGATGATTGTTTGGTACAATTTTTTTTCCAGGAAAACATATAAAGGATCATGAATAAAAGGTTCAAACAATACAAATGTCTCTTATCAACTTGGACGTCACCGTAATCAGATTGATTATGTCCTATGCAGTCATCAATGAACCAGTCCAGGCTTAGCTATTAAGACATATCCAAGTGCTGGTTGTGGTTCAGATCATGAATTGTTGATGGCAAAGATCAAAAATGCAGTGCCTCCAACAAAGTTTGATATCAGTAAAATCCCTACTACGTATATAATATAAATATCAACCAGAATAGAACTAGAAGGGATCTTGGAGGTCTTCTAATCCAGGGGTCCCCAACCACCGGGCCCTGGACCAGTACCGGTCTGTGGAACATTTTGTACTGGGCCGCTGGTTTGCTGGGCGCCGCCATCTTGTTTTGATGAGAAAGTGCTTCCAGTGAGCCTTTCTGGTTGGAAAGCGGTGTTTGGGTCCTGAAGGAATCCTCGCGCCTTAGTTTCATCGGCTTCAAACAAAACTAAGGCGCAAGGATTCTTTCAGCACCCAAGGCAAGGCGAGCCGAGCGACCATCCCGAAGCCGTCCCGAAGCCCATCGACAAAGGTACAAAGGAGGAGTTGAAGGTGGCAGGGAGAAGTGGGGGACGGCTGGCTGGCCGGTCGCTCGGCTCGCCTTGCCATGCGTGCTGATGCCGGTACTGGGCTGCAGATCATTTTGTGATGCCGGTACCGGGCCATGGCACAAAAAAGGTTGGGGGCCACTGTTCTAATCCAACCCCCTGTTCAAGCAGGAGACCTTACAGGAGACTGTCCAATGTCTTCTTAAAAATGACTAGCACCAACTATTGAAAGGCAATTACCAGATATTCAAGCTGACTTCGGAAGGGCTCATGGCACCCACGACCATATTAGAAATCAGTGCTGGATCATGGAAAAATCTTGTAAATATCAAAAGATCGTTTACATGTGCTTCATTGACTACAAAAACTTTCATACAAAACTTTCATACACCAGCACATCTGGTCAAGTTGGTGCAATCACTCTATACAAAACTGAAAGCCTCTGTGTGAACACCATATGGAGACACTAAGTTTAAGATAAAGAAAGGAATGCAACAAGGTTGCAATTTCTTCTCTCTCTTATTCAACCTGTAGGCCAAGGTTTTCATGAAGAAGCTAGATCTTGAAGAATTAAAAATCAAGGTAAAGACTGGTGGAAGAAACATCAACAATATGTTGATGATATATGTCTCTTCTCAGAAACCAAAGAAGACCTGGAACATCTGGTCAAAAAAATCAAAGAAGAAAGTGAGAATTTTGATCTCTTGCTGAACATAAAAAACAACAACAACAACCCACCACCAACAACCAAGCTCATGACCACTGCAAGAAAGGGAAATGTCAAAATAATAAATTGACAGTGGAGATATAGGAAAAAAATCACTTTCCTACAATCGCAGATAGCTGAAAGGAATGAATGCAGCACAGAAATAAGATGAAATAAATGTCAGATTGTACTGGGTCAGATAGCAATGATGAACGTGAGCCGAATATGGAAAAGCGAGGACATCAGCCTGACAACCAAATGTAGTTTAGCCCACTCTATTGTGTTCACCATAGCTACTTATGGCTTGTAAAAATTGGATCTTGAAAAAACAAGACAGGATAAGAATCGACTCATTTGCGTTATGGTGCTGGAAAAAGAGCCTGCATATTTCAGCAAAAGTGATTAGCAGGCTCATAACACCAGACATGTCACTGGAAGGCAAAGTCACGACTCTGCGTCTCACTTACTTGGCCATGTCATGAAGGGGAATTCACTGTTGTGTTTGAAAGAGCTGGTGGTAAAAGCCATGAAGGAACATAGTGGCTCAACACTATCAGAGTGTGACACCAGACAAAGCATGGAAAAACTCAAAGAAATAGTGCAAGATTGGAACATGTGGAGAGACCTGACCCATAGAATTGCCAAGAGTCAGACACAACTGACTGAATAATATCATCATCCTCATCTAGTGCTGCTATGTACCTTAGGCTTCCAGATATTAAAAGATGTAGAGCTGTGATGGCAAACCTATGCCATGAGTGCCGGAAGTGGCACACAGAGCCATCTCTCCAAGCATACCAGCTGTCGCCCATTGCTCTTCTGGGTTCTGGAGTGCATATGCATGCTGGCCAGCTGGTTTTCGTGTATGCGTGAGCGCCGAAAACCGAAAGAGAAGCTCCTGGCCATGCATGCGCACGCTGGCCACCTGGTCTTATGGTTTCTAACACACGTGTGTGCGCAAAGACCAGCTGGCTGGTGCACACATGTGCATTAAAAACAGCCAGCCAGCTGGTCTTTGTGCGTGCATGTACATTAGAAGCTGGAAGTCAAGGTGGCTGGCCGCATGCACATGCAGGGAGCTGCTCTTCCGGTTTCAGGCATGTGTGCATTTTGGAACTCAGTGCCTTTTCGTCACATGCATGCTCCCGTTTCAGCACTCGGTTCCAAAAAGGTTAACCACCACTGATATAGAGCATTGACCACAGCAGGCGGAACTGTCTTCTGCATCTCTTACAACCTTTTTGAGTGAACAGGCCTGCTTGTAACCAAGGAGGAGTAAATAGATGTGGCAATCCCAAGTAATTTAGTCAGCAGGGTTTACTTCCAGGTGGATTAATACATTTTACAGTGAGGGAAAGTACATATGCCTGTTGAGGAAAAATGCAGACTTCGTTGTAAAAGATTGCTATGTATAAATATATACTGGATTTTGCTTTTATCAGGTCTTCCTTCACTGTTAGAGACACGATAGGAATAATGCTATAAGGAATGTAATATCTCTTCTATTTTTAGTTGATATTCATTGGTTTTAGCATGGCACCATTATTTTCTTTAGATCCATCTAAAAAGGATCTTTGTGACATTGTATTGCCATCACTATCTGTTCATAAAGATCATAAGAACTTCTTCCTATTTTTAAGCAACTTTTTATTCCAAAATATAAAGACCTTTTACAAGTAAGGAATTGTTAAATACTATTTAATGATATTATTCTCTCTTAAGGTTCTTGAGTTTCCTTGAAAACTTTCCCTAGAGAAAGAAATTGTTAAACCAATTTCTGTTCTTGTAATTAGTCCCCAAATAATTCTGCTATATTTCTTGCATTATTACAATTAA